AGGGAAGGGAAAGGAAAAAAGGAAGAAAAGGGAACAGAGTTGTCGTGCAGGTTCTTTATATCAAAATTCTAGTACAACAATGACCTAACATTAACCAATTCTTTTAAAGGAATCTTATTTTTTTGGATGGAACTACTTTTCGTAGTACTGTAGTAAAGTTGCATTATGAATATATAGTATATAGTATATTATATATTATACAATATTATACATGATATGCAATATATATAATTATATAATATATGATATATAGTGTATAATACATAATATATAATATATAATGGGTCATATGGTACCAAATTTTGCCAGGTTGTTACTTGAAATGCCCATCTTTGCAGACTTGTAATTTAGCTCGTTTTAAATAGAATTCAATGCTTTTTTATTCATTAAATGTGCCATTTCTATGTCCTGAACTTTTGAATGCATATTTATTTTTTTGATCTTTTAAAAAATCGCATAAATAAAATAAAAACAAAATTTCAATTAAACTAAAAAAAGTGAAGTTTCAAATATTTGAAAGAGGTATAATTTCTTACTCTTTTTTTATTTTTCAATAGAATTAAAAAAATAAATGTGCTTCAAAAAGTTTAGGACATGGCAGTTTAAAACGTCTTCAATCACAAGTCTGCAATGATAGGCATGTCAGTTGGCAACCTAGCAAAGTTTGCAATTTTGAGGTTGTGTAACTCGGCGGGGAATTCACTTTTCTGGGTTTTTTTTAGCTTTTTTTACACTGCCTTAAACCCTACTAATCAGCAAACTCTGAGATATATATACTTTATAATACCATGTATAGTAATATATAATATATAATATAGTATATTTATAATCGTCATAAGGACAGGACAGTTGTCATATAAGTTAATATAAATCTAAAAATACCTAACTAGAAGGAAAAAAATGAATTAGAGTTCATTGGTAGGCTGATATAAACCAGTCAGTCCAGCTGTATGCCTACACACTTTGTAGAAACTTCCCTTGAAAAAAAGCAAATTTGCAAAAAAAAGAAAGCTCGGCAACCCCTCCAATTAAATTTCATTTTTCTGAAGAACACACTTCAGGGAACTCATATGCAAAGAACAAA